GTTCACACCTGAGACCAGCTGAATCAGAATCCACATTGTAAGTAGACCTCTGGGTGAATCACATAAGTAGTAAAGTGCTCCGAGGAGTCCTCTGGTAGGACGTTCCAGGGACCTCTGTAGCCACAAGCCACAAGACACTTCCTGAAAGCACCCTAGCTAATCAACTGTGCTCTCCAAGGCAGAGACCTCGTCTCCCTTTCTTCCATAGACACATTCTAGCTCTCTGCACTGAGCAAAGGCCACCTTTGGAGACAGCAGATGTGAAATGCCAGCTACATGTGTCCTCAACTCATTTCTGCCACTTTCTAATAGACCTGGAGTGAGTCCCTGAAGATCATTGATATTCTCCTGGGTCTAAAGAACTTTTATTCTCGAGGGTTGGCATTTCTACCTTTCAAGTATGGCCCTGTTTGGGTTCGTGGGCCGCAAAAGGTTTATGTGATCACAGGTTGCCCAAAGGCAGCTTCATGCACAGCAAACCCCTGGAAATGCCAACACCATTGTTCAGAGGTAGCATAAAGATTTTTCTCCAATCAATGGAAAATATTGTACTGAACAGAATTAATGATTATAACTATTAGAAGTAATTTAAATGTACCAGATAGGATTTCTTGGCCTGTCTCCTTTTCTTATGCATACAGTAAAAGCAAGGACCCCAGGATTCTTTTTTTTTTAATTTATTCATGATAGACAGACAGAGAGAGAGAGAGAGAGAGAGAGAGAGAGGCAGAGATACAGGCAGAGGGAGAAGCAGGCTCCATGCTAGAAGCCTGATGCGGGACTCGATCCCGGGACTCCAGGATTGCGCCCTGGGCCAAAGGCAGGCGCCAAACCGCTGAGCCACCCAGGGATCCCCGGACCCTAGGATTCTTACCAGTCTGTTTGTATTCCTGCCTCTGACATATCGTCTTGACTGTTAAAAATTTGGATCCATGGGACGCCTGGGTGGCTCAGCACATGATCCTGGAGTCCCCGGATCAAGTCCCACATCAGGCTCCCTGCATGGGGCCTGCTTCTCCCTCTGCCTGTGTCTCTGCCCGCCCCCCCCCCTGGCTTGAATGAATGAATGAATGAATGAATGAATAAATAAATAAATAAATAAAAATTACAAGGATTAAAAAAAAATTGGATCCAGGGGTACCTGTGTGGCTCAGTAGGTTAAGGGTCTAATTCTTGACCTCAGCTCAGGTCTTGATCTCAGGGTTGTGAGGGTGTGGAGCCTACTTTAAAACAAAATGGATCCAGAAGTTAAATGTCGACTTAACTTGCCATAGATGGGAATAGAGACAGAGGTGAGAATGCTGGATTGTTGCATGTCTATGTGGTACTTTTTGCAATTCCAGGCAAATTATGGTTCTAGTGATTTTTTTGTTCTCCTCTGTGCTTTTTCCAATTGTACATACTCATGGATGTAGACATTAATATTGCACAATGACTTTTTTAAAAGTATATACCTTATATAAGATAAGTTATACTACTCAGTAGAAAACATTGATGCCTCCAGCTATAGGAACAGCATTGACAGCTAGAAGGGAATCTTCTGGGTACCTGGTGGTTAGGTTGTAGTCTGTGATCTGGTGGCCTGGGTTTGAATTCTCGCTCTGACACTTACTGGGTAACTCTGTGTGACTTACTCAGCCTCTCGAGGTCTTATCTGTAATAAGGGGATAATACCTACCCCATAGGACTATTAGGGGGACTAATGGAATTAATAATACATGTAAGGCTGCCTAACTCCATGCCTAGCAGATAGTAACGTAACCAATATTAACCATCATTATTAAATCTGCAGCACGATCAGATTGGTTTGTTGAAGGGCGTGCTGAGTGTGAGTCTGAGAATCAAGTGAGGAGGCTAATAGAATTGAGTTTTTCTCTTCCTGCTTGTTGTAGTACTGATCTGCAGTGAGCTGGTCCAAAAGCAAGCACAGCTGAAGGGAGAGGGAGAAACGGGGGCTGGAGGTAGTCTACCGATGTAGCCGTAACTCCCCTTGAATAACTGAACTTCTGTGCTTTAAAATGAGAAGCTAAGACAATATAACCTAACTAATTTACATAAGGTTCTATAGTTTACAGACCATCGCCACATTCACTTTCTCACTTAATCTCTGTAGTCTCTCTAGACATAGAGCAGATGTCATGGTTCTCACTTTACAGAGAAGGACACTGAGGCTCAGCAAAGGTGATGACTTGGCATAGGTCTCCAAGTAGAGCCCTGGCTTCTGGATGCCTGGTCCAGTACCTTTTTCACACAGCCTCTCAGTTATCTGCAGGCCCTGGACTAAGGCGCCTTGGAAGTCAGGAAGGCCATTGAGAATTGCTTCTGTTCTTTCTTCCTCCTGTAAGGGTAGGGAGTGGGCAGTTCTAGAAGTGGCATCAAAGTATTTCCCACCAAAGGGAAGGGCCTCATATGTGCTGATGCTCTAGACCTAAAAGTATGTGCTTTGGATTCACACCAGAGGTAAGGTAGAGAGCTAGGAAGAGGAGAGAGGGGGAGAGATGTGGTAATGGTTTCATGCTTGGCTCACTGGAACCTCTTCTACAAACCAGCCTAAGGAGAGGAGAGGAGGATATTGAGGGGTACATATGGTTTGAGTCCATGTGAATTACTCAAGTGTATTATGAAAAAATATAATCAGTGACACAAGTCCTTAGGACAAGATGGCATATGTGTAGGTGCATGCCTCAACTGCACCCTCTTTACCCATATCCGCCATGGCTGATTGACCATTCTCTTTCCCACTGAGCTTTGGAATCCCCAACCCAGGGCTTCAGGCAGCTGCTACCTGTAAGATTTGTTAAGTGAGAGAGAACCCATTGACCGTTCCTCTTTTAAGGGGTATCCCCCTTCAGTGCAGTGAGGAGTCCCATTTATTGTTGAATTAATGCATCTTCTGTGGGCATTTAGGTGATTCTCGGGTTCTCAGTAGGGGCAAAAACATTTCTGTTTTATCAATGATTTAAATATTATCACCCATTCGACGCTTTGACCTTGCTGTGTCACCAAGCAGCTCTTCAAATAAAAATGGAGCATCAGAACACTCACCATCGGTGTTCATTGTAGCCATCTTTTCTCTCTATTTTTTTACACATTTTATTTATTTATTCGATAGGGAGAGTGCACAAGCAGGGGGAACGGGAGAGGGAGAAGCAGGTTCCCCGCTGAGCAGGGAATCCCACAACCCTAGGATCATGACCTGAGCCAAAGGCAGACACTTAACCAACTGAGCCACCCAGGCTCCCCTTTTCTCTCTCCTTAGAGGCAAAATTTACATTTTGCTCGTTTCACTGCGATGTGAGAGGGCGACAGCAGCAGGAGAAAGGGGCTTCTCGCTTCCCCCAGCATCCTTGTGATTGCCCCCACACTGTGCAGGCTGGCGGAGATGCGCCCCTCCTGCTCCACTCCTCCAAGGCAACTGTGGCTCTTTGAGACAGCTGCAGCCCTCCAGGCTCTATGGTAAAAGAGTGTGTCTGCAGCTGGCCACGACTGCCTTGCTAGGCCACACTGATAGATAATATGACCGAGGGCCTGGTAGATGTTCTTGAGCTGAGTGCGATCGTAGGGCTGTGTGAGACCTGCAAGAGTCAGGGTTCAAGAACTTCAGGGGAGAGGCATTATTTCCATGGGGATGTATTTCCTCATTTAAGCATTTGGGCAAGGGAGGAGGGGAAGAAGGACCAGGGGTCGCCCGACACAAGGGAGGCAATGCAAAGTAAGCAGGATGGTCTATCTTATTACAATGGCTTAATGCAGTTAGTTTGGATCATAGGACCGTTCAGCCAAGTTGCCTGAGAGTGACCAACCAAGAGGGCCACCGTGTGAGAATGTCAGGGCCACGTGTAGACTGCAAATCTCATGGAGGAGCTGTGGGGTGGAAGCACTGTGATCATGGGCAGGGCCCAGGAGTACCCAAGGCCACAGCTTTCTGCCAGCACCAGGGCTTTTCATTCATGTAAATCAGGCCTGGCAGACAGCACTCAGTTTCCAAGCAAAGACCAATCGGTGCTTTAAGGAAATGTTTACCGTGTATTTATTGTGAATTTCCCTGATGATAATCATAGAGCATTTGGAAAATACAAAAAGATAGAAAGGAAAAAATTTACCCATCACTACACTGTCTAAGACAGTACTCTTAAAATTTGGATGTATTTGATGGAAGTCTTTTTTTCTATGCACTTGTATATAAATTTTAAGAAATCTGTTATCGTGGTAAAGATGCAGTTTTTAACCATGCTCTCTTTACAGGTATGAGCATGTTTTTATATCGTTACTAAAAATACTATCTTAAGTAGGTATATAAGATCCCATCTAACAGATGCACTGTAATTTAACCAAAAAATTAAACATTTCAGTGGTTTTCACATTTTTCTATGTGTGTTATAAATACTAGCAGCACATGGTTTTAGGGAAGAAAATCTAGAGGGTAGATTTTTGATGTATTGATGGAACAGTCAGCATTGTTCATTGTACTACTGCTGACATCCCAGATGTGTGTGTGTGTGTGTGTGTGTGTGCGCGTGCACAGATACTATATTATTGTACATTGGTGATGTGTGGTTCCATGTTTTGATACTTAAAAGTAGAGAGTCTCCAGGCTCCTCAAAAAAACATGACCCTTTGGGCACTGATCCTTTGAACAATTGACATTTCATCCAATATGTTTATAAAAATAGTTGTACGGATGGTTGATTCCAGTGGGAAATACATAGCTGCTGTGCTAAGTCCTGCTGCTGAATTTAGGGACACCTGGGTAGCTCAGCGGTTGAACATCTTCCTTTGGCTCAGGGTGTGATCCTCAGGATTTCCTGCATGGAGCCTGTTTCTCCCTCTGCCTATGTCTCTGCCTCTCTCTGTGTCTCTCATGGATAAATAAATTAAAAATCTTAAAAAAAACAACAACACAAAAAAAGTGCTGCTGAATTTGAATCAGATGACTTTGGTCACCTTCCTGCCCGTGGGCCTTTTGGCACTCATGGCTGGTTCTCTTCTCTCTCCTCCAGTTACTGGGGCTTCCGGATGCAGATGATGATGCGTTTGAAGAGTACAGTGCAGACGTGGAAGAGGAGGAGCCAGAGGCGGACCACCCCCAAATGGGGGTCAGTCAGCAGTAACCTTGCAAGGGCTCCCGTCTAAGAAGGAGAGTGAACCCCCTGGTACCTGAGGTGGGGTCGCGTGCTCCTGGGTTAGCATTTTGCATTAGCACTTCGAAACAGGACATCTGACTCCCAGCATCCAAATTAGAACTAAGTACCTTTTTATTGACCACAAAATATCTGGGATGAGCTTTGCTCAGAAGTGACCTGAATTTTACTCCCGTTTCAGTGGGTTTCTATGGGGTTGTCTCGGTAGCCTTTGCCATTTTGAATTTAGAGTCCCATTTTGTGGCTGACTGTTCTCTCTTGAGCTTGTGTCGGAGAACTACCATTCGCTGACTCGAATGTAGAGAACTCTGAATGTATTAAGGATATGTTTTGAGTCCTCACAGGTGACATTATGGAGGGAAAGCATGACAGAGAAGAAATGCAGTCTGCACTTTTTACGTACTTTTTAAGTGTCCGTAAGTGAAGGAATTTGCTTATGAAGCATGGGTTTTAATATCTAGTCATTAAACTGCACAAGTGCAAATACAAGGGCAGGAAAGGATAATCACTTAGCTTTGGATGAAGAGGGGAAGAGAGGCAGAGAAGCCTTTGTCGAAGTGTCCTGCCGTTACTGAGTTACCTGGATAGATAGCAACTGGTTCATGGTTAGTAGAAACATTACTTGCATGTTCGGTTATTTTAAAACATGCTAATTCCAAAGCCACTTTTACAATCCAAGAGTGGCAAATATAAATGGGGTGACATAAATTATTGATTTCTTTAAAATGTTTATAAACCGTCCCACATATGAAATGAAACATTTACGTTCTCTCTTTATAACCAGATGGCAACTTGTTAAATCATGAAAACATTCAGAATCCAAGTGCCACTTAAACTTTGAAGCCATAGATAAATTTAATGGGGAAATAAACCAGGATAAAATTTTTTAAAAATATGATGTAATCCTTCTTTACTTTTTTAATTTGTCTTTTGTTCCTTAAAAAAAAAAAAGGTCAAGAAAAGGATCCCCCACTGTATAATTTATTGAAAAAATTGTCAAGTGCTTCGAGGGATCTAACTGCAGTGAATTTTTAAAGCGATATGAAAGTGGAAATCTTTCAGCCGTGGGTTAGCTTGGTTCAAAGGGGGAAGTTTCAGTGATCCAAAAAAACTAAGACAACTCACAGAAACAGCTACTTAATAATTGGAAACACTGCTGTCATCACTTAGCCAACAAATACTTCTAGGGGACATCCTTTGTAATGCTAACGTGAAATTATTTAAAGTGTTCATTTTCTTGGACCCTTCTGGATCTCTCAGAGCAGAATGCCTCCTTCACAACCCTTGACTAAATGTAGCATCTGGGGTGGGAATCTTTTTAATGTGCATACACACGTTAGGTTATCATAGTTTGGGACTTAAAAAAAAAACAGCAGCAGCAGAGAGCACAGTGTTTCTGGGAGTCTTGTGTATCTTCTAGGCATATCAGTATTAACCTGATTATCTCACCATTCTCTGTCTAATTGATTGGTGCCATGAAGAGCGCGGCTGCTTGCGGTGAAACAGCGTCCTGCAGTTTTAAGTCATGGGCTAACACAATACGGTGGTTTCCATCCATGCTTCAGTACCACGTTTTTCTTTTCTTGGAGCAACCCAGGTGAATTTCAAGTGAAAATGACTTTGCTTCCCAGTAGCCCATTCCCACAGCAAACCTCGGTGTCCCATCCAGTGGGGTGAGCACCCGGCCCCGAGCGCAGGTTCAAGGTGCGCTGTGTTCTGTAGCTGGCACTCAAGTGTGGTAACCTCTGCTTTAACACAATAGGCCGAAAGAATGACCTCCTGCCACTGAAATGAAGAAGCTTGACTAGCTTGCTCCATTTGAAGGTAACCTGGAATTTTATACATAGAGGCTGAAAAGCTAGATTACGTGTGTTTGCAAATGGAACGGATGTTGGTATGAAGACGCGTTTTATGAAAAAAGTGTTTAGGCTTTGACCAAATGCATTTGGGCGTATTATCATGTTCACGTTCTGCTCGTAAAACCTGAACTGAGATCCACTCAGCCTTTCGGTGGGCGGAGGAGAGATCTCGTCTGTGTTCTGTCCCAGGGGCTGAGGATCACGGTACTGTATGTTACTTATTTTCATGGCAAAAATCCCAGAAGGCATTAGCGAATGGAGCCGTTTCCTCTAAAACTTCCTTTTTATTCTGATCGGGCGCCTCCCCGCCAGCACCTGCTGCCACACGGGCCCGTGCGCACGCTCACGCCCACCTGGCCCGTGTTCCGTGCGGGGTCGTGTGTGCGGGTCAGAGCCGCCTGGTGCCGAGCTCTCCGGGTCGGCAGCGTTGTTATGCAGGCGGTGCCCTGGTTTGACAGGTCCCTGACTTTCACAGACACACAAACCCTTACGAAGAAGGCCGGGGGGCGCCGTGGGAGGAGTTAGGAGAGAGACCTGGGTTCTAGGCCTGGCTCTGCCGGGGACCGCGTGACCCTGGGCAAGTCCCCTAACTCGCCTGAAACAACGGGTGTCGGCCCTTCTTGCTTTAACCGCTGTCATTCCACAGTTGCCCTGTGATGTGCGTGTGTACGCAGAGCAGCTCGAGCAAAGTTCCATCAAGGAAACTTTTTTTTAGGGAAATAAGAACTAGATTTGGAATCTTGCCGAGATGCTGTCCTGAGGACGCTGGCCACAGGGCTGCCTTAGCATATGTTTCTGTTCATCCGTGAGTGTCCAGACCCCCTGGAGCCTGAGGGGCTGATGGCTTCCCATTCCTTAGACGAGGACAAGGTCAGGCGTCAGGTACAGAAACGTGCCCCAGATGTGCAGGCTGTGTCTGCGGAAGGCAGGGCTTTTCCCTGGGCCCTGGCAGACTGTGGCTTTGGAAGTAGAGTAGGTTTTAACATAACCAGGAGGGGAGAATTTGCATGCAGAGCTGGGAGAAAGGGAAAGAGCAGTACTTGGACTTTTTTGCCATGTCATCCAGTAGAGAGGAAGAAAAGTGAGAGAGAGAAAGAAAGAGAGATTGTGTGTGCACGAGCGTGTGAGCGTGTGTGTGCGCCTTGGGGGGATTGACGGCCTGTTGATCACTGTGGGCCAGCTGTGAAGTCCTGCCTGTGATAACCTTACGAAATCTTGAGATCCAGGCTTTGAGTGATTCAGAGACGTTTTTCCTACCGTGGCCTAGTCACTGTCTCTGCCTGACAGTCATCCTGAGCACACTTTGCACCCTTCAGGGAACCGGAGGATGAGTTAGGGAGCCGGGGTGGGAGGTGGGACCCCACACGATGCCTGCCCCCACCCAGGTTCAGTTATGCCCACGTCTCCCAGACTCATAGCAGCACATAGGACTTTGGTTTGTTTGTTTTTGTTTTTTTTTAAATATGACTCAAATATGAAAAGTCTCTTATTTAGGAATTCTCCTTGTGTCCGGTGCCAGAATTAGCTTTCCAGGGTCCTTAAGTGAAAAATCTCTCTCCTCTCGTAGCTACCGTCATTTTTCATGGACAAATGGAAACCTTTCCTCCAGCACAACTACATCTCTAGATATTGTGTCTGTCTCATAAGAGCACAAAGTGTATGGACCTAGGGGAGCTGCGCTTCCAGAGCATCGTCGGAATTTATGTTTTAGAAACCTACCTTGCATATTAAAATTCACAAGTTGGGAAATTGGTATGAACAAATCTGATTTCCCACGGTTCGAGAGGCACATTAGGAATAGGCAGGACTTAATCTGGGGTGGGAGGAAAGGAGTAAGGGAGAAGGGGAGAGTTAGGGTCTAATTCTTTTAAAAAAAGAGAAAAAAGAAAAAGCCAGAAGACAGGTATCACGTAAGGTACAGGAGAACTGTTTTCGTGGCTATCCCACTAGGAGGTGGCTTTGCTCAAAGGGACTGCCTGCATGTTGAGAGGCAAGACCCATGTCGGGGATGACTTTGTGGCTTTACGGATACCCCGCAGCCAAGGAGACAGCAGGTGTCCTGCAAATCTGGTGGAGGTTTCCTCAGTAAACCAGCTGCCAGCCAGAGAAGCCCGTCTTCCCAAAGTGCTAACACACCTGTGGGCTCCAGTCACCTTGGGCAGCCCGTGAGCCAGATGTGACCCACACGTGCTTGCTCTCAGCGTGGAGGAGGCCGTGGGTCAGGAATGCCCCCCACCCCCAGGCCTGGAGAGCAGGGCCCACGTACCCCACGGTGCTTCAGGTTGTAGAAAGAACACAATTAAAACGGCAGCCGGGGGATCCCTGGGCGGCTCAGCGGTCTGGCTCCTGCCTTTGGCCCAGGGCATGATCCTGGAGTCCCGGGATCGAGTCCCACGTCAGGCTCCCGGCACGGAGCCTGCTTCTCCCTCCTCCTGTGTCTCTGCGCCTCTCTCTCTCTCTGTCTGTCATAAATAAATCTTTAAAAAAAAAAAACGGCAGCGGATCGCAGATCCCTCTTCCCTATAGCGAGTGTTAACCCCAAAGAGGTGCCACTGCCTATTACTCAGTCTTCAGATTACCAGAGAAGCCTAACGTGTTTTGTTTTGTTTTGTTTTGTTTTTTAATGAAACACTAATCCTCTTCCACAAAGATCCAGTTAGTTATCTCCGTTTGGGGACACCAGGTATGACATGATAGGCTGAAGTCCTTTGGATTTTACACAGAATACCGAGAACTTGCCAGGATGCCAGTAGCCTCTGGTGTTCATGGCAACGTGGTGTCCATGGTAAAATAGCTATGCTCACATTCCCCTGGGATTAAGTTGTTAAATAATATGTTGTCTCTGATATTTTTATTTAAATTTGTATTACCAAAATAGAGGGCCCATGAGCATCACCTGTTAGAAACCTCGTTTAAAGCACCGTGTGGCTGGATAGACCCGGGCAGTTGAAAGCGTGCGCCAAGCCACATAAAAATAAACAATTTACTGAGAACTGTATTCCAGTTATTCAGTATCGAGAAAGCAGATAGTCTGTTCTTTGTCAAACTGCCTTTCCCTGTTGTTTTCTTTTGTTTTCGTTTCTGAAGGGTCGTTTTTTTACTCTGAGTACCTTCTGATAGCCAGGCGGGTAAAGACACAGCAGTACTGTGTACACACGTCACCTCTTCAGAGGAGAAGGCAAATGATCAATTCTAGGGAAAATCGGAAACGATCCGTGAGCCAGTCTTCATCTGTGTGTGAGAGCAGAGCTTAGCCATCTACGGGAGAAACAAAATCAAGGAACGGTTTTGGGGTTCTTTTTCCTTAGGCAAAAATGTTTCATGCAGGGTGTGTATGTTTTCTTTGCCTTTATATTTCCTTTCCTAGAAATCTCTTGTAAATGACAAAACTGTGAAATGGGTTGCCAAAAAATTGTTGCCCTTTGTTTTAGATGCCACAAGCAGTGTAAATCCCAAACGGAACCCTGTCCAGTCTGCTCCTTCCTCCCTCCCCAGAGAGTGAGGATCTCATCCGCCAATGTAATTACCATACGCTTGCTATTAAAGAGCCTTCCAAACTATGGTGATGTTTGCCTCTTTTTTCCCCACCCTCCACAGTGTTTGGTCGAGAGGACACCTCACGCGACGCAAACGAGGGACAGAGAATGAGGACCACCAGCCAGCATTGTGGTTGCCACAATGCGGCCGGGGAGTGGGGGGATGTTTGCAGGAACCACTGACATGATTCAAATGTTAGCAGTGGATGTGTTTTGAGGCTTTAATATATCTGTCCCGGTGTGGCTGGTGGGTAGTGATTTTCCAGTCTTCCTTCAAACTAGTACTTGAAGTGTGTATACGAGGACCCTATTTTTTTCTATCATAGCGAAGTACCACGTGTACTTTGTGACACCAGTTAGAAACCTGTGGTCACTCTGGGACAACATGATGCTGTTTCCCCACGGCTCTCCTCCCAGTGATTGTTATTCAGTAAACAGTGGCATCCAAAGAGTAAATCAGAAGTCGGTGGTAAGTCCCATTATTTGATTAAGAGCAGTGGAGGTTGCCTTAACAGACACAGCAGAGAGGCGTACGTGTGCGTGTTAGATAACTTCACTGCTGGTTCTCTGGGACACGGCTGTTGTCAAGACACTGCTCCTGGGCCGTGGGCTGTGTGCAAGCATTCCGAGCCTCGCTCAGGCTTCAGCACGCTGGTGGCAGGATCTTCCCCAGGCAAAGCCTTTCTTCTGGGGGAATTTCTTTGTTACTGTTATTTGATCTCTTGCGCAGATCACCTTTTTAAAATGTAGCCCGGCTCCTTTATCTAAGTGCAGGGGCTCGTGTTAGAAAGACCCACGTTTTCCCCTTTGTGGTGAATCATTCTGCAATCCGTTGGCTGGGAGAAGAGGTTCTAGGCCAGTCTCCTCCCTGACCAGCATATCTCCCCGTCCCCTACCTTTGTTCCCTCATCTGCAAAAATAAGAGTATGTACTCATTTCCAAGTTCCCTCCAGGCACTAGCCTTGTAGGAATATATCTGGTGTTGGCTAGTGGGGCTAGGGAGGGCGGGAAGCAAAGTTTATAGGGAAAATGCTGTCTCGTGGAACCAGGGCTGGGCAGCCAACATTGGCAAAACGGTGTTTCTCTGATTTTGATCCCTAGGATCCCTTTTAGAGATAAAAACCCCAGCCAAAATAGTGGGTGTGTGTTAGCCCAAATGCTGACGTCCTAGAGTACTTTCTCCTGCCTTCCTGCGTTTCTCTTCCCTTTGTGATCAATGATATGGAAGAAGGCGCTACCACAAAATAGGAAGATTTGTGGTGTTTTGCTTGGGGATATAACAAGCAGTCTCATTTCTTTTAGAAACGAATCTCCTTTCCACAGGAAAGTCAGGTCAGGTGGGACACTTCATTGTTTTTTAGTGTTCATTGTGGACGTCAGTGGGTTGAAGTCAAACGAAGTAAACAAAACTAAATCCACTACGCAGTGCTTGGACTCTGCACCGGGGCTGGAGCAAGCAGGCTTGTGCCTGTAAGGGGGGGGGGGGGTGAGTAGGGGAGGGGGAAGCTGGCACATAGTTTTGCCTGGTGCCCTGCTGAATTGGGGTGAGCGAACATTCCTTTCCCTTTGGCAGGCCTGGCCATCTGTTACTTTGGAAACTCAAGAAATCCATCCTGAAATAGCTGGCAGTGTGCTTTTCCTCTTAGATCCATAGTAGAAAAGTAACTTTGAAATACTGTCTATCTCTGACCCACCTTTTTTCCCCTTTTGGAGCAAAAAACATTGACATTTATAAAAAATCTGGGCAGGCTGTAGTTAGGCAGCCTAAGAATGAGGTAGGCATTTCCTATTAGGTAACACTTAAAGGAGCAGAGACATTTTCTCCTCCTTATTTTCTAGGAAAATGTGGCAAGCGCACAGATGGAGAAACCGGCCAGTCAAATTAAGTTGGTCCTTTGGGATGCTTTTTAATTGGAAGCCTCTAGAGGTCAGCACTGCATAAAGAAGGGCTTTCTAGTTCTGGGTCACCCAGGTGCCCACTTCTTGGTGCAGCGTTTGGGAGAGGGGGACCAGCAGACCCCCCAGCATGGGGAAGGAGGCGTGAACAGCCCAGCTGTGCACGGGAGAGGATGGCGTAGGGTCCTTTCCTTCATACAAAATCCTAACATTTGTCTTGGGTTGTTTTTTTTCCTCTTTCTCATCCATCTTTCTCTACAGCTCCCACACCCTGGTATGCACACACTGTCAGCTCAATAAACACGACTTAATGACCAATCGATGAAGCCTGGCATTTAGCTCACTCGGAGAAGGGCTGGGGAGATGCCAGAGAGGAGCTAGACGGCACACTGCGTATTGCTTTGAGCAGGGGGGAGGCCCCTCTGTTCCCAGGCAGGCTGGGCCTTTCTCATTATCAGCCAGCGGGCTTTGCCAAGCCCTGAAGCTTCCAATCAAGCATCAGGATGGCATGGGCAGTGCTAGGACCCCAGATTTCTGCTTGGAACCCACATCGGGTGCCCAGAGGATCCCACACTGGGGCTGGGTGGGGAAGCACTTGAGTATCTTTAGGAGATCTGGCTAGAACTGGGGTTGTTGGGAGCTGCTAAAAGCTGGTGGGACGGTCCTGGGGGTGGGGCGCTCCAGGGCACGAGATGCAGTGACAGTGTGCTGTGTGCAGTGGTGGCTCAGGCTGCTCGCACCACGGTAGGCCAGTGGCTCCCAGAGGTGCCCTGGGACACCTAGCGTGACAAGGAACAGGGAAGCCTTTGCTCCGCCCACCCCTCTCTCCTGCTCAGGGTTTTCTTGTTCCTGCGATAAAGGAACAATACTGCGCTTGGCCTAACTCACACCAGGCAGCGTTGACAGCTGTCCTTTGCTGGGTGATCTGACTGAGCCTGGGACCCACTCACTGAAAAGGGATGTTGGTGGAAAGGACAATTAACATGTCGCAAGTACAAGGGAAGCCTGACTCCCCCCAGAAACATCTTAACCCTTAGCAGCTTCAACATTCTCACTGCTACCATTAGGTTTTGAAATGACGTTTCTTTGACCCTGGTAAGTGTGGACAAGGCCCAAGGTCCCCTGGTGTTGGTTGTATTCTGTGCAAGTATGGAACGGCCCGATGACTCCGTAGTCGTCTTGTCGTGAAGCCCACGGTGCTGAGTGAAAACGTCCCAGCTGTGTTTGCTGTTACATACAAAAATCTGCTTTAACAAACTTATATAAAATCCATCTCTAAGTACCAGGCACTGTACTAAATTCCTTTTAACTAAGTCCTCATATCCTTCCAACATAAGGCATATGTTACGATTGATAGTCCCCTTTTACAGATGAGGAAACTGAGGCACTCAGAAGTTACTTAGAGCTAGTAAGTACTGGGGCTGAGATGTGAACCCAGGCAGTTTGGCTTCCGAGCCCTTTTATTATTATTGTTTAAGATTTTATTTATTTATTCATGAGAGACACAGAGAGAGAGAGAGAGGCACAGACACAGGCAGAGGGAGAAGCAGGCTCCATGCAGGGAGCCCGATGTGGGACTTGATCCCAGGACCCCCAGCATCACACCCTGGGCTGAAAGCAGACGCTCAACCACTGAGTCTCCCAGGCATCCCCTGAGCCCTTTTAATCACTCTGCACTGAATAGTGTCATCGGCGTTGGTCTCACCGTGAAGGAAACTTCTGGCTCTTTCTGTTCAGCATGACAGAGGTCCTGCCCTTACACTCCATGCCATGGACGCTATTCGCTGCCTGTGTCTGTGCACAGGACAGACTAAAGAAAGTTTCTTTGGGTCTTTGCCTTGCCCGGGATCAGGCTGGCCACGCCAAGGGATTGGGATGAAAACTGGAATGTTCTTTCCAGTATCCACATACTTGCAAAGATTTGAAAGTGATTGAAAGAACTGGAGCAACAGTTCTTCAGTTTCAGTGATTGCTGAGATCATTTAGTGCCTGCTAAAATAAGAGAATCTCCAGGCAGGGGCGAGGCTGTGGGAACAGCCAGTATGCCCCTTCTGTACCCTTCTTCCTAGGTCTCACCCCCTGAACAGCCCTTTAGGAGGCCATCACAGACTCTTCTGATAGCAGAAGAGGCTATTTCAGACTCGTGGGCATGCAGGACCTTTTGCCCCATCTTACCCTGCAATAGCCAGGGGCCCAAATCACTCTGGAGTCGGGCCAGGGCCTGAGAGCAGGAATGCTCACCTCGTCCACTCCTATCTGATGCCGGAGGATGGGGTCACCACCACACCCTGGAGACTGGAGGCTCAATGTATCTCCCTGAGTCATCCAAACACCCTACCAGCCCACCCTCCAGCCCTTGCCTCTCCCCCAACCCCCGCCAAGGCGGCGGCGCACACCTCCATCAACCCCCTGTCACTGCTGCTTGTCTTAGCACAGCTTCTCGCAGAAGGAATGCCTGGCAGACAAGGAGCACATTTCAAAGGCAAAGTCAATTTGCTTTGAAGCTCATCTGCTTTTTTAGATAACCTCTGCCATGGTTTCCTCCGCTAATGTGGAGAAAGAGGAGCCGGCCAGGTCATAGGCCGTAAGAGATGTTGGTGCCCCAGCCCTGCTTTCCTTGGTTCTGAGATCACAGGTGTTATCACATAGATCCCTCGTGATTGGGACCCTGTGGCCTTGGCGCACCAGCGTGAGTGAGCGAGTGAGTGGCCGCAGGGAAAGCATGTTCTACCCCGGGAGGAGTGCTTTTCCATTTTCCAAACGATGCACAGATGAAAGGAAGGAGAACAGAAAAATTGAGTCCCTTTAGGGGCGCCCGGGTGGTTCAGTGGTTTTAGCATCTGACTCTCAGATTCTGCTCAGGTTGTGATCTCAGGGTCATGGGATTCAGACCCACATCGGGCTCTACACTCACTAGACATTCTCTCTCTCTCTCTCTCTCTCTCTCTCTCTCTCCCCCTCTGCCCCTCCCCTTGCTTGCACTTGCTCCCCCTCCCCCATAAATAAATAAATCTTAAAACAACAACAATCCCTTAAACATACCAATTCTCCAAGGAACACAAAGCTGCACAGGTTTGGAAAGAGAAGGACACAGTGTCACAGGGTAACAAAGCCAAGTTGGTTTTCTG